TTATGTTTATTACATGACACGCATGTATAATGTCAAATGGCTACAAAACAAGAACGAGAAAGAAAGTAAAACATCCTAAACATCAAAATTTCCCATGAAGTTTTCATAGGAAGTGGTATGATAAGCAGTATGCCATCACTCATCTTTTTCGTTTTCAAAGAAGCTTGTTCACTGCTTCTGGTTTAAAAAAAAGTCCAATCTAGAAGAAAGCACAGCTTTAGGTAAGAAGACTCGCGTTTGTTAAACGAAGTGGTTTAACGGGATCATTACAGTCGGCAGAGGTTTCACTTCGTGTACCTGCCGAGATCTGGTCTGTTCACATGCTTGACTTCTTGTTCGTGTTTTAATGGTTCCTGAGAAGTGAACGACATCGCTAAGAACAGGTTCTCGTTCATTGCTGACAGTCTATGTCTGCTCGTATATGTATACAGTTGAAGGGGAGTTTGACGGGGATATGAATCACAATTAGTCCCACGTCGACTGATCGTATTTTATGCTCTGGGAGGTGCAGGATCATAAGAATCAGCCGAGTAGAGTAGGGTCTAGGGAGACCAGGACTTAGGCAAAGATTCTTTCATCAGCGTCGCCGTCGTAATTAGCGCCTTTCATTGAAGCGTGCCATTCTGAGACCGGGGGAAGGGAATGGTGTGTATGTTTCAAATGAAAGGATGTCAAACGTTACCTTAGCTAAAGTTCACTATTTTGCACCCCATGGATGGCGGGCGATCCGGAAAAGGTTAATAAACTATAAGCAACGAACTGTAATTCTTTAAATGCATCCCTCCTTTCAACACGAAGAGTTGGAGATATTTTGTCAAACGGATATGAGGTGGTTTATAGACGAGTTGCCGCCACCTGCACGGCAGGTGCAATGGGCTCGTTTGTAACAAGGCCAGCATCGTGCCAGGTACACTAATTCACACCAAAGTCGTATTTGATGTTAGAAAGAATGAATTCAGCTTCCTTGGTGAATATTATTGGGGAGGAAGTGAGTTCCTCTCGTAACGTGCGGTTCTCAAATGACATTTAGAATCACTGACATTCGAGGGCCTACAGTACTGTACAATGACTTACTGGGGCCAAGCCGATGCGTATCTCAGTGTTTTCTCCTTCCAGTCTAGTCTGGTATCAATTAATTGACCTAAGAAGATTGCTGCTTGGTTGGCATCGGTGGAATTTGATAGGTTAATGGGTCCACAACCGTAGAAAAGGACGTAGCCTGTCAATGCCCCATTTCCGTCGTATCAGTTGAAATACCTGGGTGTTCTTTGACCAATCAAAACACCAAGTGCATGGGAGGGCATCGGTGCAGTGTCCACTTTTTCCAATATGCATGTACCTCTAGTATGAGTGCTCTTTTCAAATGAAATTGCTGTCACTGCATTCGCTTGTTGTTGAGACAGAACTCTGTCAGCATTCAGAACCCAGAAGTGTGATACGCGTGTGGAGGCTCGACTGTGTTGTGGAAATCTTCCCATTTTGCAGAAGGATTGCGAAGAATCTAAATACTGAATGGAACTGTGTAGTTGCAAGGATAGCTTAGCACACGCGCGGTCAAAGGGTCAGATCTCGGATGGTGCCCTTTCAAAATCAACCAAGCCTTCTATACCTCCGAGGACCAGATGGAAATTAGTACTTTTCCAAAGAGTTGAACTGCTTGGCGCACCAAAAGGAGTTGATTAACACGGATTGCTTGAACATTGGGTTCCGGTGAGGCACATGATGCATCTTCGGTTTTTTTTTTACAAGCCGCCGAGAATTGGCGTCGACTCAGAATGAATTTCAGACTTGTCACAAGGATCACGACAACACCCTCAGGGGTCTTTCTGCTAAACCGATTTCACCTTTCCCAGATGGGTAGTTGAGTGGTAATACTGCAATACTGAAACTTGTCAGCAGACGGTGATACAACGCAATGACAATTTTTTGAAACCTTTATAGAATCATTCAGTAGTCCAATTTTAGACAGAAGTGTACCAACCTCCATGACCATATGACCCAGGAAATTAGTTGACATGCAACGTTATTGAGGTATTTATAGGGGAAACGGTAATTTAG